CCAAATTCGATACATGTGAACCGTTCGGACCAGACTATTTTTTGACCTTTTGATTTATGGCAATTTTGAAACATGTTTTCTTTCTCTTCATCAACAAAGGTTTTAAGGTAAGTTACAATAATATCCACATTGACTTTAAACTGTATTGATATCAATTTAATTATCAACAACATTGTTGTTCTCTACAAGATTGAAACTCTAATCAATAACTTTGATCAAATTCAAATAACCCTTAAATTTTGATCTCGCCACTTGCATCCACTTGATTCTAATTACATTTTTCTTCCTAGGTAATTTAACAAGTCTACAAGTATAATTTTTCAACTACCCTTGACTCACCTGTTTTCAAATGACTCCATAAAGGTTCTTCTTCTTTTATTTTGCAGTCCTTCAGCCACATTAAAAACATAATATCCAAGGCTAGCATAATCATTCTTTTGAGATGCTACAATAACCCTCCTTACCTTATCATGAGTAAAATGATAATCAGATATCTCTGTAGCCGTTCACTCACTACTACTAGTATTCATAGTCGGAAACTCTACCTCAAACTGAGTTTTCTCCGTTATAGTTTCTCCTAGATTTCTGCATTGGTTTTCATTATTCTCCCTTTGAAGAAATTATCTACCAACCAAGTAAGTTGTTTTAAACTCAACTCTTCTCCAAAAACTATATAAAAACTCAGCGGTAACATGCATTTTTATCCCTTGATTTATGAAAATTTTATTATACTCCTCTGAAACTTTCTCAAGGAATTCATAACCCCTTAAACCCAAATCCCACAGTTCTTCCTTGTCATGAAAGCCTGCACTAGTTAACAATGAATAAATAACAACATTTGAACCTTCTAAAATATATAGACTACATGTTTTAGACCATTTAGCAATAATCAATTCATCATGCGAAATCTTCAACGCTCTATGTTCAACTCTAGGGCAATAGCCTAAATCATCAAACATACTTATAGATAACAAATTTCGCTTGAGTTCTAGAACATACCTCATATTGTGAATAAGAAGTTCACGATCATCAAATATTTTAAGTCTGACTGTACCATGAACCTTGCAAGTCTTATTATCGCCGAAACAAACAACTCCACCTTACACCATCTTCAAAGTTTCAAAGTCTTATATTCTTGGACACATGTTATAAGAGCAACCTGAGACAATGACCCAACTATCTTCGGTTTCCAAACTCGATACTATTAGTGCATTGGAATCCTCATAACTTTCCTCACCCGAGGAAAATGCAGCTTGAACATAATCTTCATTGCTCTTTCTCTCGGGACAATCCCTTTTAAAGTGACCAATTTTTGGACAATTAAAATATTTTACCTTTGACTTATCAGACCTCTTTGATTTGGACATCCCTTTATGCTCACACCCTCCTCTTGACACATTTAAGCCTTCACCACTATATTCAATCTTCAAATATTTTGACTTTGAAAACTCTTTAGATTTCGCTGACGTCTGGACTTCATCCAAAGTAATAGTATCTTCCTACAAAGTTGAGGATTATGCACCTTTGTGAGATAAACACCACTTATCCACCTACAACCATAACGTGATAGGTGATTGGATTCTTCCACTTATATATGCTCAAGTCTCCACATTCCTATTCAATGTGGAATTGTTTTCCCACTTACCCAAACTTGCATTATTATGCTAACACTCCCCCTCAAGTGTGAGTCCATAATGCTCTCCTACTTGTACCTCCATTGACACCTTGAAATAGGACACCTCTTCCTGAGCATTTCAATACTAAGTCGTTCCCTTTCTCGAACCAGACTCTGATACCATTTATTGGGGGATTTCACTAGGAGAATTGATACAAAGATGCTGATTATGCATCTTTGTGAGAGACACACCACTTATCCACCTAAAACTTTAAGGTAATAGGAGAGTGAATTCTCTCACTTATATATGCTCAAGTCTCCATATTCCTATTCAAGGTGAAACTATTTCCCCACTTACTCACACTTGCATTATTATTCTAACATTCGGTCCAGTCAACCTTTCAAAATGGTTAATAGGTCAAAATTGGAGTAAAATCAGAAAAATCAAGTTAAACTGTCTAAAAACATTCAAACAAAGAATCAGAGCCGATTTTATAAAATCTTCCGGTTCAAAAAATACATCAAATTTACCATTTTTAAATATTTTTTAAATTTAATATGTCAATATCAAAACTTAAAACATTTCGCATTCACAAAAAATAATTCCTTATTTTTTCTATAATCATACAAACTCCTAAAATGTATCACTTTGTTATAATTTTTTTTCTTTTAATCATGCTCTATCATCGCCACATCATCTCTTATAAACATATTCACGTTATCCAACTTAATATTAAATGTCCTTCAACTCAATATTATTTTTTATTGTCCAACTATGAATTATTTATTGTCTTTCAACTCGCATTCGCCTAACGTTGTTCAATGAAAATATATTATATTATTTATTTTTGGTGATTCTATCATATTTAATTCATATGTTCTTAATTATTTTAATTTTATTTGAAGTATTATATTCTATTATTTTAATTTTAGTTTGTATTGATTTAACTTATTTTTACGGTAATTCTTTAATTTGTTCAAATTGTTCTAAAATGAAAGTTGAAATTAAATATACAATTAACTTGTGTTATTATATGTGTCACTAATTTTGTTGTAATCTTGTTATATTAAGTTTGTAAATGATTTTTGAAATTTTTATTCTATTAAATTGTGAATGGATTATTGTGGATTATATATATATATATATATATATATATATATATATATATATATATATATATATATATATATATATATATATATATATATATATATATATATATATATATATATATATATATATATATTAATTTATTTAATAAACAATTCAAACATAGATTTAATCAGTTAAATTAATTGAATCTTAAATTGAGAGTTTTACTGATTTAACCTCCAATTTAATTTTTAAAATATAGAAAGAAACAAATAATAAAATAGATTTAAATAGTTAGTGGAAGAAAAATTATGACATTTAATAAATTAAGAGAAAAATAGTTTTAAATAAATAATTAAAAAATAAATAATTATATAAATATGTGAAATTACAATTTTTTAATAACAATTATTACAAGAATATTTTTCTCATTTTTTATACAAATCACAAATTCAACATGATTTCAGAGCATATCCTAAGTCTATTGGTGAACTCCCACATTGTCCATATTTCAACCTCATTGAGACTTGAATGCAAGAGTGTATGTTGGAAGTCCCATCTTCGTTATTGTTTGTTCTTAATCAACTAATTATGTCATTTGTCTCGTATTCATTGTGTTAGTTAGGTTTAAAGTTGAAAATTTAGTTTTACATTAATTAGATATATAACTAGCGTTTATAAGCGAAAAGCAAGTTCTTGTTATAATCTCTCGATTTGGCACATTAAAGAGGTCCATAATGACAATTTTAATAGGCCACCGTGCATGTATTCTTATATCAGTAGATAGATGCATCAGTTTGAGGAAGCAAAAGCAACAACAAGGATTACGACTAATCCTAGCATGGAAGTGAGGATCATATGGGAAGCTCCTCCGAGAGACTGGGTCAAGATGAATATCGATGGTGCCATGGACAAAAAAGAAAACGCAAACTGTGGTGTAATCATCAGAGGTTTCAGATGGTGAGTGGCTTAAAGGTTTTTCGAAGAATATTGGGATCTATAGTGTGTATACTGTTGAACTTTAGGAAGTATGTGGAGGTCTCCCTTGCTACAAATAAGAGATTCAAGAGGATCATGGTCGAAAATGATTCGCAACAAGTGGTTAAGGGCATTAATTGTACCTCCTCCTCCATTAACTTGGGTAAGAATCTTTTAAATAATATTAGATATTTTTTCATCAAGACATCCAAGTATCGATCATGCATATTTACAGGGAAGCTAATTCGTGTGTCGATGCCCTTGCGAAGAATTAAACTCATCAACAACATAAGTTATGTAGTTTCAATGTTTGTCCTTACTTCATGAAGGTTCTGTATGATAATGATTTAATTGGGAAACAATATTCTGGTTTTTATCTCATTGTAATTTTCTCTCTGGAACTTATCAACAACATAAATTATGTAATTTCAATGTTTGCCCTTCTTTCATGAAGGTTTTGTATGATAATAATTTAGTTGAGAAACAATATTCTGATTTTATCTTGTTGTGATTTTCTCTCTTGAACTTCGACTCTCCATTTAATAAAAAAAACTTCTTAAAGACAAATTTAAAACTTTTATATATAAAATATTAATTAATAATTATTTTTTTTATAAATATAAATAATAAATATGTATTATAGATTTCAATTATTTACTTTTTTTTTAATTCATAAAAAATACTTTATCAATATCTAAATGAACTCTCTCACAAAAATAAGAATTTTGCAACAAAACAAAAACACATAAATTATTAAAAATATTAAAATATAACAATTAGTTTTTTAATTCATCTGATTTACAACTCATATATTTAACAAAGATGATAGTATTAAATAAGATTAATTTTAAAAAGTAATTGCAAATAATAATTTATAAAGAATTTATATTTAGGTAAAATACTTTAAATAAAAGAATTCATAGTTAAAGAGAAATAATTTCTAAATAAAAAAAAAACTGTGAATTATGTATTTTTTTTCTTGACTGAGATTAGATACTGACGAATACGTTAAAAGAAACAAAAATATATACTTTCTCTGACTTTTAACAAAAAAAACAATAGTATAATATAACTTTGAGTGTAATTTTTTTCCACAAAGTTACTCTTGACACATTAAGACTAGGGAATCATCAAAATTGATATTAAATGCATAGTTTCAATGACTTCTACCCTGGTTACATCGACCACCGACCGCACTAGAAAACCAAAAGGATAAGCATTGGGATTACTTGTTAGCCAAAAGTCTCTTTTTTGTGTTATAAATTCTCTCATTTTCAGCATAACACACACAACTTTCATTCTCTTTTTTCACCAATGGATAATCATTCCACCAATAACAATAATGACAGTTCTAGAATTTCATCTGTTCAGTTAGAATCTGCTTCTAACCGACAACCAACCCCTTTCCGTAAGATGATAGTAGTTGCTTTTATTGCCGCTGGCATCCAGTTCGGTTGGGCCCTACAGCTATCTTTATTGACACCTTACATCCAACTGCTTGGCGTCCCACATAAATGGGCCGCCAACATCTGGTTGTGCGGTCCTATTTCAGGCATGATCATCCAACCGATTGTCGGTTATTACAGTGACCGTTTACGTTCTCGTTTTGGTCGCCGCCGTCCATTCATATTCTTCGACGCTATTGCAGTTGCGATCGCAGTCTTTCTCATCGACTATACAGCTGATCTCGGTCACTCCTTCGAAGATGATCTCAAGAAAGAGACACGACAAAAAGTTGTTGTCATCTTTGTATTCGGATTCTGGATACTTGACGTTGCTAATAACATGCTCCAAGGACCTTGTCGTGCCTTCATCGGCGACCTTATCGCTGAAGACCATAAAATAATGAGAACAGGTAATGCACTATTCTCGTTCTTCATGGCTGTCGATAATGTCCTTAGTTATGCAGCAGGCTCTTACTGTAAACTCTTCATGATGCTCCCTTTCACTAAAACCGAAGCCTGCAACGAGTTTTGCGCAAATCTTAAAACTTGTTTCTTCATTGAAATATTTCTCCTTATCGTACTTTCAGCCTTTGCTCTTCTTCACGTAGAAGACATTCCATTACCAGTTGTAGAATCACAATCACAGACACAAATACAAACACAATCAGAACCAGAACAACAGGTTTCGTGTTTCGGAGAAATACTAGGTGCATTCAACGGACTATAAAAATCAATGTGGATGCTAATGTTGGTAAAAGCTATAAAATGGGTTGTATGGTTCCCATTTTTCTTGTTCGACACTGATTGGATGGGTCATGAAGTGTACGGTGGCGATCCGGGAGACAACACATACAATCGTGGAGTCCGTGCCGGAGCAATGGGGCTCATGATCAATGCTGTTGTGTTTGCTTTAATGTCGTTAGCGGTAAAGCCATTAGGGCGTTTTGTTGGGGGTGAAAAAAGACTTTGGGGGATTGTGAATATCATTCTTGCGGTTGAACTCGGCATGACTATAGTCATTACCAAGGCAGCTCAGCATGAATGTTGCGTCAGCGATGGTAATACGCCTTCTGCTGGAATTAAGGTTGCCTCGTTCGTTTTCTTCGTTGTTCTGGGAATCCCTCTTGCGGTATTATTTTTTATTTTTTATTTTTAATTCTTATATATATACTTTTTAATTTTGGTAACTACGCTTTTTTTTGCTATTTTTTTTTGTGTTTATTGAATCACTAATAACCATTCAATAAAAATATATCATTCTATTATATATTAAAAATAATTTAAGTTTTTTAGTTTGACTTAGTTAAATAAATAATTTTTATTGATTAAAAATGTAAAATTAATTTATATTTGGTTCATCGTTTTTTTTCTTTTTTTATTTATTTTCAATATAAAATATTGTATAAGCATTTTTGTCTTTTTATAAATCTTTAAAACTATTGCTAACATAATTTATAAAGAGTTATTATTTATTTATATTATTACTATATATATATAGTATGATATAAGATTATATGTCATTAATAATTTAATTTTAGTAAAAGTTATATTTATTTTTTTATGTTATTGAAAAAGGATGATGCATTGAAATTGAAAGTATAAATTAATTTTACCCTATCAATTAAAAATGGTCGTGTATTTTATTAAGTTATACTGAAATTTATAAATTACTTGTATTATATAATAGAATAATAGCTCAAGTGGACCCAATGATCATTCGTGATCCAAACTTATGTTTGCAAGCCCAAGTATGTTAATTTGATCTCTTTGATCCAATAACCTTGTGATTTATTATGTGGAGGCTTTGGTTCTACCAATCCTCTAATGGATTTACATTATCTTTGGTCAACGTGGATCACGTAAACATCGTTGATCATTAAATATTACTTTTGGGGATTCCAAAATGGATGATATACTTGACATAAAGCAAATGCAATTCATTGTGTGGAGGCTTTGGTTCTACCAATCCTCTAATGAATTCCAAATGTAAGTTTCAAGATGGTCATCCAACTAACCACTAATTACTAATAATTGACTTTATTTTGTGTTTTTATTTTATGCTCTTTTACTTCATGCACCATTTACTTTAGCATTTACATTTCATGCTATTTTTCATCTTTGATCACTTGAGAATTTACTTGTAAGTACGAAGTGCGCCTAAGGGGGGGGGGGTGAATTAGGTACTTTTAAAAATTCTGTTTTTTTAGTGATGATGGTTCTTATTTTTCTGGTTATAAGTGAGTTTAGGAAAGCTTAAGAATGCAGAAAAAAATAAAGAGACACGGGCGATATATCCTGGTTCCCCTCACAGTCCGAGAGTACTCCAGTCCCCTTTCAACATGAAAGAGATTTCCTTATTATGGCAAACTTACACAAGAACTACCAACCAAACCAAGAACAATCATCTTGGACCAAGAACAATCCTCTTGGACTTTCACTAAGTTACCTATGATAACAATCCTCTCAATGTAACTACACTTGTATCCAGCAACTTGGAAAGACAAGATTTTAACAAAAACACTTAAACTTAATTCCAACGATTCTGGAAAATAAGTAAGTAAATATCAATTTGTGAGTTTGAGTGAGTAGAGTATATTGATCACTAAGAGTGATTTGACAATGTATAATATTCTTATTTCAATAATAATATTGTACAAAGACTCAAGATATATTTGCTCAAAGTTTTCTGTTTAAAGTATGAAAATCTGCAGAAAACTTATGCATGAAAATGAAGAATGCTTGAGTTTGTATTTTGAAAGTTCAGAAAATATTTATGAAAGAAGGTGTTAGATCTGGATTTGAAATTGAATATTTATATGTTCATAACACCCTTTTGAAACATCATGAAGATCTGGAAATGTATCATGAACAAATGCCAAGTTTGAGTGAAAAGATGTAATGAAAAGGCATGATCAAAAGGCATGAACAAAGCTGTTATTTTTCAAATTCGTGCAGTGTATAATCGATTGCACTCTTGGTGTAATCGATTGCACAAGGTTTTTAAAAGCTATTTTTCAAAATATTTAAGAGTGCAATCGATTGCATTAACAATGTAATCGATTGCATGCAAAGTCAGTAGCAAAAATTAACTGAGTGCAATCGATTGCACTAATAATGTAATCGATTGCATGCAAAGTCAGTAGCAAACGTTTTGAAAATTTTAAGTATGAAATCGATTGCATAGGAATGTAAATCGATTGCACAAAGAAACAGAAGCAAAAGATATGAATTTTTGAAGAGTGCAATCGATTGCACTAAGATGTAAATCGATTACATGCAGAAGAAAAGTGAAATTTTATCTTTGAAAAGCTTGAGTAATGATTCTTAAACATTTCTTTTTCATTTTTGAGCATCTATATCTTAAGATCAAAGTAGATAATATTATTATAAATTTAAAGTTGTTGAGAGCTTTGAGTGAAGATATTATCCTTAGATGCTTAGATGCTTGATCAAAATCTTTGCCTTCTTTGTTAGCCATGGTTTGTCTTCATCAAAACAAAAGCTTATTTGAGAAGCTTGATTTTACATTCTCCCCCTTTTTGATGATGACAAACAATCTTTCTTTATGCTATGTACTTTCTGGAAGAGCTTCTCCCCCTAAGATGCAAAACTCCCCATATGTAGGAGAGGGTTGGAATCCTTTGCAATTCTTCATCTTGATTGGAGAGTACCTTGAAAATTAAGACACAGGAAATACAAGCATAAAGTACCATACATCTTTCTCCCCCTTTGACATTATCAAAAAGAAGGGAAAGATGCTTAAAGCAAATAATAGTAGAGCAATATAATAGAATTAAAACACTAACACATATTGTTTAAGAGTTACATAGAAAATTGAACAAACGAAACATTGAAAGAGTAAGATAATAACATAACAGAAAAAAATAGTCAGCCAGAACATTAAGGGTGATGAATGTCTGGATGATTGTAAGACCATGAGCTTTGGTTCGGGAATTGTTGTTGAAGTGGAGGTTCTGTGTAATGAGGAGGAGGTGCAGCTGGGTTATTTGGGTCGTATGGTGGGATATGAAGGTGAGAATAAAGGTATGAGAATTGTTGGTTCACATCCGAGCGAAAATCATTTATCCGGGTTGTAGTGGAGTCATTGATTACACTCTATTGATTGTTGATGTTGGTATTCATAGAAGCAAACTGTTGAGCCATGTAGTCCATGAGTTCTTGATTGCTTGGACCAGAGGGAGCAGTAGGAGGAGGAGGCACAGCTTCACCGCCTTCAACTTCTTGGTCATTATCTTCATTGCCAACAACATCTTCACCAATGTAGGTGATGGTCTTTGTCTCCGGATTAAAATGTACGCCCATCCTTGAATCAACATTCTTAATTTAAATTCTGTTTAAATTAGGATCCATATCCACCTTTTCAAAACCACGAAAATCCATACCAAATTCCTCTATAATCAAAGTGACAAAATAAGCATATGGAAGGAATTTATACTTTTCATCCACTCTCAGCATATGTATCATCATCATTCTTGCCTGGTTTACATTTACTCCTTTCTTCCTTGCATAAATAAGCTGCATCTCGAAGTCGGTAACCGTGCAATGATGAAGATATCGGCAAGCTGATTATGAGTATCTACAAAGGTTACCTCGACATCTCCTTGAAGAACATGATCACGGAGAAAATGATGTCGAATGTCTATATGTTTAGTCCTTGAATGCATGACGGGATTCTTTGTGATGTTGATTTCACTGGTGTTGTCACATCTTAGAGGAATGCACCCTAGATCGAGTCCGTAGTCACGAAGTTGTTGTTTTAGCCATAAAATTTGAGCACAACTACTACCCGCTGCAATATATTCAACTTCGGCCGTGCTTAGAGCAACACATGCTTGTTTCTTGCAGGCCCATGATACTAATGCATTACCAAGAATGTGACAAGTACCACTTGTGCTCTTTCTATCTGTTTTACATCCTGCATAATCCGCGTTAGAATAACCAATTAAGTTGCAGACACTACCTTTAGGATACCACAATCCGACATTTGTTGTCCCTTTAAGATACTTCATGATCCTCTTTACCGCCGTGAGATGAGATTCCTTTGGGTTAGCTTGAAAGCGGGCACAGAGACAAACACTAAACATTATGTCATGACGGCTTGCCGTCAAATATAATAAAGAGCCAATCATACCTCGATATTTAGTGATGTCAATGGAAACACCTGATTCATCTTGATCAACATAGGAACCAGAAACCATAGGTGTAGATATTTCCTTGCAGTTATCCATGTCAAACCTTTTCAAGAGTTCCTTGCAATATTTGGATTGGTTGATGAAGATGTCATCTTTAAGTTGTTTGATTTGAAGTCCAAGAAAATAGTTCATTTTACCCATCATGGACATTTCAAATTCTTCTTGCATCATTGATGAGAATTCTTCACACATTTCTTGATTTGAAGAACCGAAGATGATGTCATCAACATAGACTTGTGCTAGCAAAGTGTCGTCTTTGATTTTCTTGATAAATAGAGTCTTGTCAACTTTGCATTTTTCGAAACCTTTTTCGCATAAGAAGTTGCTTAAACGATCATACCATGCCCTTGGTGCTTGTTTCAGTCCATAGAGAGCTTTTCTTAATTTATATACATGAGATGGATTCTTGAAGTCTTCAAAACCGGGGGTTGCTTAATGTATACTTCTTCAGTGATATATCCATTCAAGAATGCGCTTTTGACGTCCATTTGGAAAAGTTGAAAATTTAATGAAC